TGTGGGTGAGGCAGGCAGGCGGGGCAGGGAACACCAGCAGTGCTCTGGGACCTCTAGTCTATTGGCCTCCATTACACTGACGAGACGTTTAAAAAGAATAATAAAACGATACATGAAAATGAGGTTCATATTGGGAACCCCCCGGCCTCCAAACAGCAGGTGGGAGCTGCGGGGAGGGGGTGGGACCGGCCATAGCGCCGCTGGAGGGACAGCCTGGCGGTGGTGTTAGGGACTCCATGACGCCCCGCTCTTGCGCCCCGTGGACTCTGCAACCCTTCGCTCGCCAGCCCCTCTTCCTCTCTCCCATCCCAGTCTCCCAGTAAGAGGAATTCTCATTCCCCTCCTCTAATCAGGACAGGCACCTGCCTCTGGGAGGCGAGGGGAGGGGACTGCTGCGAGTTCCACATTCTGGGTGAGGCGTCTGTGCCGGGAGCGGCCCCCAGGCCCTGTGCCGGGAGGTGGGCAGGGACAGGCCTCCAGCCCTGCCCCCCAGCTCAGGGCGCCCCTCACCGAGTGCCTGATGGAATCCCTCGCGCTCTGGGGCTGGGCTGAGGGTGAGATGCGTGTGGGTCTAGGCCCCCCACCCCGTCCTGAGGTCAAGGATCAAAAGGGTCCAGAGACAACCAGGTGACTGTCCTCGGGGACGCCCTCTGTGCCGGGTGCCACGCGTGGTCCCCCGAAGCCTCCCGCCCGCGGTGCCGGTGTTCCCCATCGTACAGGCACCGAGGCTCAGGGCTCGGGGCCGCCGGGGCTCTAGTCAGAAAGGGTTGTCCTAGCCGGAGCCTGGCTCATCCTACCCCAGAGCCGTGCAGGTGGGAGGGGGCTCAGGGGTCTCAGGTCCCAGGCTGGTGCCTGGGTTCCGAGGCCCTCGGGGTCCTGCCTGCTGGTGACCCAGCTCCGGCACAGGACAGGCTGACAGGCAGAACAGCCCCCCGCAGAGCCCACCGAGCTCTGGCGTCTGCCACGGAAAACACACCCGTCTGGCCTGTCTCCCTCTGCCTTCTCACCGGCCCCCGCTTGGTGCCACGGCCGGAGCACTTCCGGGCCACCTGCTGGGCCTGGGATCAGAGGCCAGTCGGCCTGGACAGGTTCGGGGCGATGCTGAGGCCCTGCCCCCTGGAGATGGCCCCTGTGGGCAGGCCCGGGGTGGCCTGTGGGTGGGCCGAACTGCGCACCTGCAGGCGGGTCCACTCAGAGGCGGTGCTGGCCTCGCGGGGGCAGCTGTCCAGTGGACGGGGAACAGGACGGCTCCGCAGAAGGAAAGAAATGCAGTTCTTTTCATTAAGGACTTTATTTCTCTTAAAAAAACGACAGTGGTTTGATCTGGACACAGCAGCACTGTGACGTGTTCCACGGACACAGACCCAGCACGGCAGAGCCCAGCCGTCATCCCAGCCACGACCCCGGAAAGGGAACGACCCCCGAAAGGGAACCGCTGTCACTCATCCACGTTACATGTCCCTGAAGAAAGGAGGTCCTTTGGCTACGAGAGTTATTGTTCTACCACCACCCACAGCCACTCAGCCCTTCCAAATGGAGCACATTTGTGTGTGGTCTATTACAACAGGCCTCATCGATGGCCGGAAAGGCATCTAGATTCTTCTCGGGAACTGCTCTCGCCCGAGGGAGAGCCAGCTTTTCCGGTTTGACCACTGTCTGCAGCGCAAGCCTCGAAGGTCAGACCAGACCAGACACGCGGCCGAGCAGGGTCCGTCCCGTGGGCCCGCCGTCCAAAGCCGCCGCTCGGTTCAGAGGAGCGAGCTCTCCGCCTTCCCCACTCACAGCTCCGAGCTTCAGAACTTCCAAACGCACCCATTTCACACCGTCTCTGGGCAACAGGGGCTCGAAGGCGAGGAGGCCCTGCCTCGGCCGGAGGGTGGGGGAACGGGAGACGGGAGAGGCGCCCTCGGAAGGTGCCAGCTCGCGGGGACAGAGCACATGCAGCCGAGAGGACAGCGATGCGGGCCACGCTCGCTTCACCACGGGGGACTCCTGCTCGCCCGTGGCCGAGGTTCCCCTGGCGAGGCCGTGTCCCCTCTGCGCTGAGGTCTGGGTCGGCAGCCCACACGGGAAGGTCGGTGGGAAATGAACTGGTGGCCTGAGCCTGTGGGGAAGGGACAGGGTGTGGAAGAGCAGGGACTCCCTGGAGGGCGGGCTGCCTGGGGTGGCCACACCCCCTTGTGCCATCCACGCCACGCATGTCCCCAGAACTCACGCCTCGTGTCCCAGTGACTGCGTGTGCCTAGAGCCGGGCCACGCTGCCGTCTTCTGCGCGGTGTGCCCCGCCCATCCCCCAGGCTGGGTGTCCCCTCTGTGAGAGCAGGTCGTGAGGAAACAAGCAAACCGGCCTGGCAGCTGGGGACATGGCCACCCCGAGCCACGCGGCCAGGGAGCCGCCCAAAGCTCGCGGCCTCGGAAGTGACGCTCCGGCCTTGGAAGGGGAGCTGATGTGGCTGCGGGGCCTCCTCCGTGAGGGCGGCCGGGTCCCGAGACACCCCGTGATGCCACGAGAGCTGGGGGGCAGGGGAGGGTGAGCACTCATCCCCCATCCCATCGGGGAAGGCAGCTCGTCTCCTGAAAAGTGGGAGCAGAGATGCCTCTGCAAAGACCCCGTCTCTCCTCGAAGGCACGACGTCCGAGGACGCCCGGTGAGGAAATGTCACGCTTGGAGGAAGAACGGCTCTTCTGAGGGAGCTCAGAGGCTGTAGAAGATTAAACCCACTCACCGTCCAGCTATGCCTTGTCCCAGACAGGTGGGTGGGTGGGAAGGTGCTGAGTTGTGTGTTTTTTTAATTAAAAAACACCTTTTTTAAAATGCCGCTATAGGAAACAAGTGGGGGTAGAAGGGGCGGTGGAGAGGAGAGGGTCAGGGACAGGAAGGACCCGCGGGGACTGGGCTCGGTGGGAGGAGGCCGGTTGTCAGGCCCTGAATTCGCTTCCCTTCTCTGGGGGAGCCAAGGGCCCCACGGGAGAGAAGGCCGGCGGCCCGACCTGTGTCCGTGGGCGCTCTCGGGACAGGCTCCTGCTGTCTGAGCCACCAGGGACCTGCGCTTCCGTGGTCTGAGCTCTGGCCAGGCAGATCTGTGTCCCTCGCCCCTGGAGGACTCTCCACGACAGACAGACAGACGGTGCGTGGGCTCAGGTATGAAAACAGGCCGCCTTCGCAGCGCCAGTCCGTGTGCTAAGGGCTGGGTCCTGAGAATTGGGGGAAAGAAATGAAACGTGGTGGCTGGTGACTGTCCTCGTCATGAAGAAAGACGGCCAGCAAGAGCTCGGGGGCCTTGACGTACGGGCCGAAGCGTGTCCGCTTCCTGGCAAAACTGGACGTAGTTCTCCACGTTTCCCTTGTCTTCAGCCCACGGAGGGAAGTGGGGCCGCCTCTTGAGACAAGCCAGGTCTTGAAGAAACAACATGGTGCATTGAAGGGATCGGCGGGAAGCCCACTGTTTCTTCTCTCCCATTTGTTTGTAAAATGACCTCAAAATGCCCGTCCCAAGGTCAGGCCCCTCTCGAGCAGCGGCCCCAGGACCATGGGCAAGGCTTCGGGAAAGAGCCTGGAGACTGGCTGACATGCTCGCTGCTTCCCCCCTAACGCCCACGCCCAAGGCCGCCTGGGCCCCCTGAGCGATGTCTGCATGATCACACCTGAGACCCACCGACCGGGTGGCTCTCACACCCGCGGGCGTCAGTGGAACCGGCAGCGCCTCGGAACACTGCAGATCTCTGGGTTTGGGGTGGAGCCTGGAACCCGCATTTTATAGGAGATGCCGGTGCAGGGCTCAGACCAGGAGAAACCGTGCAGCTGCCTGGGCTGGGCCAGGTCCCACTGAGGCCGACTGGGTCCCCGGGGACTCAGCCAGGGAGCAGGGGAGCAGGGGAGCTGCAGAGCTCACCCTGTGCAGGGCGTGGCGAGGACGGATTTGCTCCTGTCACCTTCTGGAGACGGCAGGGGGGCCAGTGGCTTCCTAGGACCAGGCCAGGCACTGCCTCCTGGGGCCACCTGTGCCTGGAACTTTGTGGTCCTGGGTTAGAGCTGGCCCCTGCGCCCCCTCTCCCAGGAGGTGACCGTGAGCTGGTCTTGAGCTTCTTCGGTGGCCCGGCCACTCCTTGGGCAGCCATTTGCTTGGAGAGCCAATGCTGTCCGTACCACCTGGGCCCACGCATCTGTGGGGTCCCGGGCAGCTCTTGAGGCCCTATGACCCCTATGATTTAAGGATCGTGCCCGGAGTCTCTGGCAAGCCCTTCCCGAGACTTATTCAGGGTGACCCAGTGACCCCACTCCAGTGCCCCCTTGGGCCATAAAAGTTTGGGACACGGGGGCGGGGGGCTCCATGATTACTCCTTATCGTTGCTACGCTTCTCTTAAAATAGAATAAAACACAAATCCCCAGACACGCGCCTCTGGAAGACACACTGGCTTTACAGTCACAACCCGCTTGGAAAGAAGGGGCCCAGAGAAGATGCTGAAGGCGCCGGCACACGGCCGTCCCGCAGGAGGAAGAGGGGGCCGGGGCCAAGGCAACGAGGAGACGTGTGGATCCCACGGAGCTGGCCCCAGGCCACTCCACAGGCCCGCACAGGGCGTCCGGGCGGGGGGTGCAGTCCCAGGTGCGTCTCTGAGCATTTAATTCCGATTCTTCCAAGTGACCGGCGGGCGATGGCAGTGCCCGGCAAAGGTTAGAGAGATGGATGCAACCGACCCTCTCGAGGTGAAACGTGAATCGTTTTCTACCTTTAATAAAAACGTTTTCTCATTTGAGGCTGTGGAAGTCTTGAGCACATTTTTTACACCATCAAAGTCTGACTTTCATTTAAATACAAATATACAAAATGTAAACTGAGGCGATAGAGAAATTTACAAAACTTTCCTTTAAAAATAATAAAGACAAAATTCAGTTCTAGTTATGATGCTATTAAAATACGTGCAAGTCGTCGTATCCGATTGGATTTCTATTGCAATAGTCGACAGAGACAAAGCCAGTCCGCCCGGCTCGGGAGCCTGGCGGCGCCTCCTTCCTTCGCCGGCTCCGGGCGGGCTGCCCCGTCCACCCATCCGGAGTGGACGCTCCGCCGGTCACAAGTTCTGCTTCGAAGGACAGGGTCTAGCCTGTCCCACGTGGACTCCAAGGCCAAGCGGCAACTAGCTGCTTCCGGTGGAGTTGGAGCTGACGTGGTTTGAGTTTATGTGGTGGTTAAAACTGGTCTTGGAGTTGGGCGAACTCGTGGAATTGTTCTGATGCTGGGAGAGGGGGCAGGGGAGAGGGAGAGAGAAAGCAGGTCAGTCCCGCCGAGCCCAGCGCTGCGGCCCGGGCGCCACCGGGGCCTCTGAACCGGAAGACAGGGCCGTGGGGCGGGGTGCTGGCCGGCACCCTTGCTGCAGGCTGCCTTTTGCACCCTCCCTGCAGACCCGGCCGGACCCAGCAGCGGTTCTCCGCAGTTTGCCCCGGGGACACTGTCTGGAGGGAGACATTCTACAACAGGAGCAGGAGGGGGTGCGGCTGGCATCTGGTGGGTGGAGGCCAGAGTGGCTGCTGAGCATCACCCGGTGCAGAAAGGACAGCCCCCGTGACGAAGCACTAACCCAGCCTGGCCGGTGTGGCTCGGGGTTGAGCGTTGACCTAGGAACCAAGGGGTCCCGGTTCGATTCCTGGTCAGGACACATGCTCGGGTTGCAGGCTGGATTCCCAGCAGCGTGCAGGAGGCAGCCGATCAATGATTCTCTCCCATCAGTGTTTCTATCTATCTCTCCCCCTTCCCAAAAGGTCAGTATGCCGAGGTGGAGAAAGCTTGCTAAAGGCCCTGCCCCTTCCACCCTGGGGCCCCTCAGCCAGTGGGTTTCAGAGGCTGCAGGCAGCTGCCTGCCCCCCCTCCAGGCTGCTGCTGCCTCCCAGTCTCCGGGCCCCACACTCAGGTGGGCTCTGCATTCTGGTCTCAACCCTGAGGACGTTCTGAGCCCACCAGGACCGGAGGGTGGGGTGGGGGGCTCTCACCTGACGCTTGAAGATTCTCTGGAACAGCCCTTTCTTCGGTGGCTCCGGAGGGTGACTCCGGTCCAGGTCTGGTGAGAGGGTACCGTTAGGTCCGAACACGTTCAGCTCCTTAAAGCATTCCGTTTCTATCATCTGGAGGAACGCAGCAAGAACGCGGGCGGCGTGAGGGCGGCGGCGTCATCTGAGTCCCAGCGCCGAGCCGGGGCCCCCACCGCCCCTGAGCCGGCCCCCCGGTTGTCTGCCGCCCTCCGTCTTCAGGGGCTGAGACCCAGACGGTGCCCGCCCGCCCGCTGCCTCTCCCCCCGAGAAAGCAGAAGTCGGCACCCCAAACCCACAGCCATGTCCTCCTCACCCACATGCTCCGGACCCTCCCCCTCTCAGGGCTCCAGCCCCTCCCCACCCCATCATTTCAATCTCATTTGATCCAACTCTGCCTCCACCTCCATCCCCCTTGTGCCCGTGCCCCGGCTCCGGTTCCATTTCCTCCCGTCCCAGCCGAACTTCTCAGTCGTCTAACTGCCCGCCTCTTCCCTCTGAGCCGCCCATGAGCCAGCAGAC